GACAATTTTTTTTTTTTGAGTTGGAGTCTCACTCTGTCGCCCAGACTGGAGTGCAGTGGCCACTCCCGGCCACCGTAGCCTTGACCTGCTGGGCTCCAGTGACCCTTCTGCTCAGCCTTCCAAGTAGCTGGAACTACAGGTGCGCGCTACCACGCCCGGCTAATTTTTGATTTATTGTAGAGATGAGGTCTCGCCAGGTTGCCCAGGTGGATCTCGAACCCGCGGGCTCAGGCAATCCACTCACCTCAGCCCCCCAAAGCACGGGATTACAGGCTGAGCCACCAAGCCCATCTAAAAGAGACAATTTATGATATTGGTGATCGCTATGAAAAACTTAAAGCAGGGTGAGGGCGCCAGGAAATTCTGGAAGAGATGGAGGTTGCTATTTTATTTATCAAGGAAGGTCTCTCTGAGAAGGGTTTTTAGAAAAGTTCTAAAGGCTGGTCTCAGTGGCTTATCCTGTAATCCCAGCACTTTGGGAGGCCAAGGTGAGTGGATTGCCTGAGCCCAAGGGTTTGAGACCAGCCCAGGCAACTTGGCAAGACCTTGTCTCTACAATAAATCAACATTTTTTTCTAGAGATGAGGACTCATTATGTAGCTGGCTATTGGAAGGCTGAGGCGGAAGGATTGCCAGAGACCAGCAGGTCTACGCTGGGGTGGCCGTGAACGTGTCACTGCACTCCAGTCTGGGTGATGGAGTGAGACACCAACTCAAAAAAAAAAAAGAAAAGAAAAGAAAAAGTCCTAAAGGAAGTGAGGCAGCATACTTAGAAATATCTGGAGGTGGCCAGGTGCAGTGGCTCACGCCTGTAATCCCAACACTTTGGGAGGCTGAAACAGGAGGATTGCTTGAGCCCAAGAGTTTGAGACCAGGCTAGGCACATAATGAGTCCTCAGCTCTATTTATAGAGAGAGAGAGAGGGAGGGAGGGAGGAAGGAAGGAAGGAAGGAAGGAAGGAAGGAAGGAAGGAAGGAAGGAAGGAAGGAAGGAAGGAAGGAAGGAAAGATCTGGAGGCCAGGTTTGGTGACTCAGCCTGTAATCCCAGTGCTTTAGGAGGCCGAGGTGAGTGGACTGCCTGAGTCTGCGGGTTTGAGACCAGCCCGAGCAACTTGGCGAGACCTCGTCTCTACAATAAAATAAAAAATAGCTGGGTATGGTAGCGCACGTCTGTAGTTCGGCTACTTGGAAGGCTGAGGTGGAAGGATCGCCAGAGACCAGCAGGTTGATGCTGGGTTGGCTGTGAGCATGCATGCCACTGCACTCCAGCCTGGGTGAAGGAGTGAGACTCCAACTCAAAAAAGAAAGAAAGATCTGGAAAAACACCATTCCAGGCAGTGGAAATAATCAGTGCAAAGGCCCTGAGGCAGGAATGTGCTGGATAATTTTGAAGAACAGTGTGGTTACAGCAGAGATTAGCAGGAGGTGACATCAGAATGAAAATAGCAAGAAAGGCAGATTCTGCCATGTCTCCTCAGGCATTGTAAGGACTTTGGCTTTTCCTATAGGTGAAACGGGAGTCACCACAGAATTTTTAGCTAAAAAGAGACACGATTCAGACACATTTTTGAAGGATCAGTCTGCTTCTGGGTAGCAAGGGAAACTAGTTGAGAAGGTGTTTTTCTTGGGTTCCCTTGAAAGCAGAGCCTGAGAGAGGGAGTTGCATGCACGTGGTTTGTCTGGGAGATGATCCAAGAAGCAGGCATGAGGGAGTGGGAACAACAACATAGGAAAGGAGAAAAAGTCAATCTAAGGGTGTGTTATCAATATCGTTGCTGTGGGCAACAGGGGCTTGAGTTCACCAGGATCTTGGAAAGGTGCACAGGTTGATTCCCAGAATCATCCACCAAAGGATGAGAGGCAGGAACATTTATCCACTGCCCCATCCCCCACTGTTTGAGGTTGCCCCTGGTGGTGGGGTGGGGGGGATTCTGCAGTTCTGGGTGCATGGGCAGAGCAGGCTCCTGTGGCATCAAGCTTCTATGGAGCAGAAAGCAAAAAGATGTGCTGCTCACACTAAGGCAAGAGGCTATCCGCACAATGTAAAGTCTGAGCTCACCCGGAACCATTCACCATGGCTGTGGCTGAAATAAAAAATGGACAGGGAGTGTGATATGAGGCACCAGAAGTTTCTCATACAGTCCACCCCTTGCACTGTTCAGATTCACCATTCCCCACTCTATCTCTAATCTCGCAGGGGGGTAGTTGGTCACAGTTTCTACAAGTTTAAAATGTATAAAGAAGCCAGGCACAGTGAGGGGAAGCCAAGGTGAGAGGATTGCCTGAGTTCAGGGGTTTGAGACCAGCCTGGGCAACTTGGTGAGACCACATCTCTACAATAA